CTCAAACTCATTTGTTTAGTCTAGCCTATCCTACACAACTTTTTATTTTATCGAAAGTTGTTGATAAGTTTAATACATTTTTCCTCTGTCCTTTCTGCTCATTTATTTGCCTAGTCTGTGTTTTTTGCTTGTTTTTGCTGTAGTATACTTGTTTTATGTAATGAGTGTTTTGAACACTGCCAATGGTTCTTATCAAATGGATGGATGATGCTGAAGATGTTATGCAAAATAAATAAATATATATACATGTATAAAATAAATAAATAAGTAAGTATAAAAAAAGAAATTACAGCATTAAAGGTGCAAAGATCTTCTCTATCTTGTGGTTCTGACTGTTAACAGCTTGTGGCACCAGTTTGAAAAATGTGGCTTGTTGCTTTTCTGTGGAACTTTCTGACATTTGAAAAAAAAAACTGAAAAAAAAAAATACAAAAAATTACCATTAAAACATTCAACAATTATGCATCTTTCTTCTGTTATTCTAGCAGCAGGTGTTGTGTATTACTTGTTTTTCCATTCAAAAAACTAAAAACTAAAAAAAAAACTAAAAATACAGAAAAGGTATGTAAACACAAAACTTGGCTCAGTGTCAGCTGGTTGCCAGATTTCCTTCACAGCTTACTCCAGCTGAGAGCAAAGTGGATTTTCCAAACAATTTGCTCTCAGCTAAAGAGCCCATCCACCTAAACTTTACTGGGTGTTGTGCAGTTGTTCCAATAAAATCTTGTTTTGCATGGACGTCTGCACATGGATGTTTAAAGTTCCCATTAAGTTCATTCAAAATCAAGCACATTTTCTGGAATAGCAACAACAATATAATCTCTCTTTTAGTGTGTGAGTGAACCATGGCGGCGTTGGCGGCAGATGYATGTAGCTGTGCAGTATCGCTGCAGGAAAATACATCCCATTTGGCTTTACAGGCATCTGCAGGTCTGTTTTTGACCAAATTTACCTCAGCTTTAGTGTTGCTGTTACTCTGTATGCTTCATAAATGGAAGATCAAAGACACAAATGACGGACATCATTTTTGGAAAAACAACAGCACACAATCGTCCTATGGCGTGTATACAAGCATCGACCATAAGTTATCCTAAGTTTGGTAAATATCATCTACCTTGCCGGTTGCGCTGGTTTCTCCAGCTTGCTGCTGTTGCGGCGTGTCTCGGTGGAGTGGCGG